ACTACACTACCCCCGTTTACTTTTTGGCATCACATCTACCCCGGAAATCCTTCAAAGGATTATTGATGATTTAGTAATGGATATGCCTTTCACATGCGTGTATTTGGATGACGTTCTCACCTCCGGTCACTACGACGCAGAACACCTACGAACTCTATCTGTTGCGCTTGAAAGGTTGGCACCAAATGGACTTAAAATGCGGTGATCTACGTGTGAGTTCCTTACTTCATCTGTGTGCTTTATTGGATATAGGCTTGATAAAGTCGGTTTACATGTTCTAGATGACAATATGAAACCCATTTTAGAAAGCCCTGAACCGAGAAACATTGGTGAGCTCCGTTTGTTTCTAGGATTGCTGTCACATTACCGCCGTTTCCTACTTGTTGCATCCACTATGTTATCTTTTTTGAATGAGTTACTCCATAAAAATGTACAGTGGTGTTGGAGTCCTCGACAAAGCAGTGCATTAACCAAAGCAAAACAAACCCTTGCCACCTCACCAATGTTAGTTCATTGTGATCCTGGGAAATCCCTAGTTCTCTACAGCGACGCATCTCCTTGGGATGTGGGTGCTGCCTTGTGTTACCGCATGAATGAACAAGCTTTGCACCCCATAACCTTTTCATCACACGCTCTGCAACCAGCAGAAACTTCACAGCTAGACAAGAAGCCCTCGCTATAATCTTCGGTGTGAGAAGATTCCATCAGTAACCATGGGGGCGTTTGTGGACTTCACACAGACCGCAATCCATTGATATAATCGTGAAGAGTACAAAAGATATACAACAAATGCCTTCACCAGGAATGTAGTTGGGCTCTGAAGTTGAGCGCATACAATTACAAATTACCTGCATTCCCGATACTAACTAGCAGTCGCAAAGCTGATGCCCTGAGTCGCCTACCAGTTGCAGGGACGTCACATGAGCCAGTTTCTCTCCGTGAATTCATTCATTTGATGCAACATCTAGATAAAACACCTCTACGAAACTCCACAATCCCTCTGTGGATTGCTCGACACCCGGTTCTTTTAACAAACAAACGATTTTTAACAGTCGGATGGCTTGCTGAAGGAGCCACCGATTTTGAGCCATTTATAGCACACAGAAATGAACTGCGCTTATTCGATGGTTGTGTTTTGGGGTTCGCGGTTGGTCCCCTCACGAACATGATTCATGCACAGAGCCCTCACGAGCTCCATACTACACATCCAAGTGTATCGAGAATGAAAGCATTAGCAAGGGATACTGCTGGTGGCCACAGGTAGATTCATATATCGGGGACATGCTGAACAATTGTGATACCCATCAGGCACACCAACGCAGTAAACCCCCTTGTCCAGTACATTCGTGGCGCTGGCTCGACAAGCCATGGCAACCGATCCACACCGATTACTTCGTCCGATTAATGGAGTAGTGTTTCTCTTTCTCATCAGTGTCTTTCTCCAACTGCTCCTTATGCAAACGACGTCCGAAGCCATCTTTGTTAAAATGCGTTCCTCATTTGCCATTTTCAGTGTTCGGGTGACTGCACAGATAACAGGTTTCCTTTTGCTAGCGCGGAGTCCATCAATGGAATTCAGCATATGAAATCGGCGTCTTACCACCCCGCCTCAAACGGGTTGGCAGAGCGCGCAGTTCATACAGTGAAACGACGACTGTTGGAGCAGCGTTTAGGGACCTTACAAACAAAGCTGGATCGGTTCCTATTTGCCTATCGTTCCACACCCACTGATGGTGCGGATAAGTCTCTTGAAATGCTGATGTTTTACAGGAACCTCAGGATATGGCTGGATTTACTGTTTCTTTATACACGGGTGTGGATAAAGGAGCGACAGAAGATTTCAGTATCTTTCGCTGACCTGAAGAGGAATGTGGTTTTAGTTGAAAATGACTCTGCACTAAATTGTCGCAAGAAACACACTGACGCCCTGCCACCGCAATTACTTGGGAAGCCAAAACGACGTCCAACTTTCAGAAGACCGGCTTATTCGTCAGCGTCCAGACCACGTTCGTCCACGGAATTTGGATAAACCGAACGATGCACAGACCGAGTTTCGCGAACCTTATTGACCGGTTGGCGAAACGGTGCCGAGGCGATCGACCCGCACTCAAAACCAGTGGATCATTTTCAGGCGGGACTATAACGATATCTTTGGAAGTGAGGAATGTCACATGCGCATGAAGGTCATGATCCAGTTAAATGGGTGGACACCACCCATGGTTTCCGGCATCCGGTTCCGGATTTACCTGTCACTGCGGCCTCCATAAGACAGCCACAAGACGATGGACCATGGATAGCTTGCGCTGCACCACCCACAGTTCCATCCACATACCCCATATCCAGTGTAAAGCCGAAGGAATAGGACCGGGAGGCATGTGGATGGGAGCCCCATTGATGTATCAGCGGAGCTGATCCACACTCCTCCGAGATGCACAGCAGCAGCATTCGTGTCAATCTCTGTAGGGAATCATTTGTAACAGAGGTACACAAGGGGTGGCTGGGCCATAGTCCGCCCCACACTGGATGGAACTATCTTTGAGCCTAGTACGGCCACGATGACCATGCATCCCGTTCACCCCGGCAACGATTCACAGTCTGCTGGAGCCGACAACCGAGTGGATGTTGTTAGACAGCTAGGCACTTTGTCAACATTCACATCAATCGCAGTCACACCGGGGATGTCAAACAACCAACATAGAATTTAAGGGAAAGCAAACACACAAAATTGCCACAGGATATGCAGCAGAATAATAGAGTTGAACAAAGCAAATAAAGAAGAATGACTTTTATCCATCTTAAAAAGGCCTAGATAAAGTTTAAGTTGATTTAACCCAACTGCGGTGAATAGGAATCGTGAATGCAACAGCAATCTCAGCATGAGGCACCACCCATTAACTCACATACCCACACCCACACACTCCAAGCTCATCGTGTCGAGAAGTCTTGTCAGATGTTGATTACATTGTTTTCTTTACCTAGGGTTCTGAACGCTATAGAGCATACGCTCTGGAACGTACTTCCTGTGACTTATCCGTATCAGAAAGTAGCCAAGTCGTGGCTACAAAACTAAGGTCCATTGCCAATGTAACACAATCGAAATAGTCACTTGGTTGCACATGTGGACTTCAGGTCACTTACTGTAATAACATGTAGCAACAAGTAGCGCACTATTATTCGTAGGAGCAGTGGCGAAGGGACCCATGTTATCCGAGGCTTCAGCAAGTAAATTATCGGCTGTATTGGGACTCCGTCCGACCGAGAACTTTTGTCCTCCAATCCACAAGCGTTATAATTCATCACAAATCTCTCAATGCTAGATGCCCTTCATGGCCACCAAAAATAGTTTCGCTTGATGTTTCCTCCCAACGATATCTTGGTGTCTCTCATATGCGCAAGTGATTACTTTGTTTACCGACTGAAATGGAGCTACAATCACCGAACCACTCATCAGACAACCATCTCTCACTGATAGTTTATCTCGAATTACGTAATACAGAATGAAGTCACCGGGAACTTTGTTATTCTTAGGCCGCCCTTGCTGCACATACTCACTGAGTTGATGTAGTATCGGATCGCTGGCATTCTCCATTCGTAATTCCTCGATCTCCAAGGCAGTTAGGTCCGAGCCAATGCTGGAAACTAATACTGCCTCTGCGTCTCTCCTTGTCATCCTCCAACCCCACGGGTAAGCGAGATAATCCATTAGCAATCCGATTTTGCAAACCCAGGCGGTATACAATCTGAACATGGTTGTTAAGGCGTCTAGCGTACCAATGATTGGTTCGCATTGGACACGAGGAGGACCGTAAGGACGAAACGATCAGTTCGTATAGTAAAACGACAACCGGACAGGAAAAGGTGTCATTTTTCACAAACCCACACACAAGCAATAGCTCCTTTCTCTGCAACGGAATAATGGCGCTCATAATCTGAGTTTACCGGATGCATAAGCAATGACGTTTTCATCCCCATTTTATGGCGGTAAGAGAACAGCACGGAGACCAACATCAGATGCATCAGTCGATACAAAGTGCGATACAATTCATCAAAAATGGTCATTAGGGAGCAGAAGCAATCTTATTTTCGGTTCATTAAGGGCATTTCGCTGATCTCTTCTGCAGATTATTGGTAGTGCTTTCTTTGTTAGCTGTTCTAATGAATATGTCAGTCACCTGATTACGCAGATTGTTAGACCACATTCCAAAAATTGTCTTCAGTTCTGTCAGTTTATTGGGTGTTGCTGCTTCAGCTATGGCCCGGATGTTTTCGTTACTTGGGCGAATGCGGTTGCGTGAAATATCGAGTCCCAGGTATTGGTTCTCGTTGGCATTAAAGTTATCATTTTGCATTCAGACGCAAACTATCATCATTGAGATGCCAGCGGACTTTGTATAACCTTTCGTTGTGCTCTTTTCGTGAGCGGCTGAAAACACAAATGTTATCCAGGTAGGCAACCTGCCCCTCATTACTTTCAAGTGGGTGAGTCATGAACTTTTGCCTGACAGTAGGCGCAGAACTCAGACACTTAGAGAACACTTTGTACTGAAATGGACCATCGGGAGCAGGAAAGGCAGCAACAAAAAGTGACCGGGACTTGTCGATAATTTGCATCTCGTCACTGCACCGATCCTAAGCCCCTATGAGCAATTGTTTTTTATTTCACTTACTCCTTCATAGTAGTATAACTTTTTCTGAATCCCTACTGCGTATAGAGCATACATTTATTTCGTGGTTTTGTTCTGCAACCGTGCTATTGGCAATCATTTGCTTCCTCTTGACATTCACTTAAATCGAGTCCTTTAATAAAGTTCTCAGCCGACGCACTACTAGCGTACCCGTCACTCGCTTGTACTACTCTCGACGCAGTGAAGTGTAGGTAATCGTCGCTCTTACTCCCTTAGAATATTTTGCATCTTCTGTGGTTTCTATGAGTTCCTTTTTGCACTATGACCTACTGATATCCACTGCTCATCTCCATCTCGTTCCGTGCACTGTCACAGCCAGTTACTGAAGGATCCACGAGTTTTGTTCGCTGGGTACAAGGCACCTCATCCACTTGAGCACAAAATTGTTATCCGAGTTCAAACCGCACCTCCAACCACTCCGCTAGACGTGTTCATTTCTGCCTTAAAAGATCTAATCAGCGAGGTTTCAAATATTGAGGAGCAATTCAGGGTATGGATCTTTCATCCGATAACTTCCACTTCTCTGGTTTCAGATGGCAACGAAGTGAATGTCGAAGAACCCCCATTTATGTATATATTAACTGCAAATATAAATCTTTTATGCCTTCACAGTTATCAACCACAGCGGATCTCTTACGATGTCTATTGTGTACGCGCTTAGAGAGTAAATGTATGCCAATTGACAGTGTACTTTAACCAAATGTCTACCTAACACCGATACCTATGGAAATGAACGATTGAGAACCACCAATCGTCTACGTATGCGTGTGTGTGTGTCTGATGCGTACACGTGTCACGGCCTGCCTGAGCCTGTAAGCTGAATGTATGTCATTGCTCGTCTAGTCATGCAGAGCATCAAATCTATATCAATCGGGTGGCCTTGTTTTGCTCTTTGATTGGCGTACCATGGTCCTCCCCGTAGGCTCGCAAGAATAGGGTGGTAGAACATAATCTTCTTGCTTGCGGCCGTCTTCCAACTGATAAGTGCCAGTCCCCAAGATGCATGTTATCTTTGTGGGTTCCGAGGAAATGGGCTGTCCTGACACGTTTCTCTTGACTCATACAAATGCTCCTGTTGGATCGGAGTAGCAGACTTCGAAAAGGCGGCTTGATATGTTTGACGAAATCCTAACTCCTCGGTCTTGTTGTTTATAGACGTGGGAAGTGAGCCATTCGACTTTGTCAGTAAGGGACGCATAAGCGTAAGTGGCCGTTACGTTCTGAAACAGGTGCAAAGGTTCTGAACCCTGGTAGAGCTTGTAATGCCAAAAAGCTGCTCTGCCTCGCTCAACTACGGATGAGCTTTCGGCTTGCAATGTTATCCGCGAAGTACTGGAAATTCTAATCTTAGCATCAGTACAATCGTTCTGCATTGTGATACCACCAGTAACGCTGTTCAGTGGATTTTAAAGGAAAATTTTCGTCGGCATGTTGAACTTCAAGTGCAAGGTTTGTACCCTTGCGATCTGGAGAAACGGAATGCATTGGGCTGGGGGTTCTTGGATCGCATGGATGTTCATTCCATCATTTTTACTGATGAATCAGTCTCTTACTTGAACAGAATATAGAAACCGGGTTTTTAGGTACTATTTAATCCACTTCGCGTACACAACATAGCCCAGCGGTCATCGTTTGGGCTGCAATAACTGGCCGCAAAATTCTGCGCCCCTTTCTCTTTTCCAGCTATGTGACCGGTAGATTGCTTTTGTGCGGTACTGATGCCATGCCTTTCATAGCATCCTCTTACAAGGAAATGCTGTAGACCTGCGTACTTCCGCAAATGGAGGCCGATGGGTTATGCAGTAATACTTAGTCGCAACATGATGCCACACCTTTACCTTATGCTCAGATGGTACGTGATTATCTGAGCGGGATTTTCTGCAACTAATGAATCGGTCGTGGCGGACCTGTAGAGTGGCATGCCCGGTCATCCGATTTGTGCCCCTTGGACTACTTCCTTTGGGGCTTTTTAAAACAAAGACATGATAAGACAAGGCCGAATTCATTAGAACAACTTAAAGAGTACATCGTGAACAAATGTCACACCATCACCGCGAAAACACTGGAAAAACTTGTTGTCAACTGTCAGGTGCTTTCTGCACTGCAATCAGAATGCCGGTGTCCACTTCGAACATCTACTGCATTAATGTTTATATCACCTTTTTACCCCGTTCACACACGTGTTCATGGTTTTTCGGAACTCAACCGGACATTAGGTTAAACGAACTGTTTCACTGCACCTTCTGCCTTTCAGGGCATGAATGATGTTCCGTAGGTGTACTGCAACCTTTGTAGCTTGTTAATTTTGGTAGCTTCGAGAGGGAAGTGGCGACGACGTCATACAAGAGCAGCATCTCACGAATATAGTGCTACTGCTCCTAGTAGTGAGCCTTTGATTCACATTCATCGTGCTCCTGCGATGGGGCTTTCTTGGACAAAAACGAAGCTCTATTGTTTTTAACTGAAAAATTCGCATTAAATCAACAAGAACAAGGGATCGAAGGTAAACAATTGTTTTCGATGAATTCATCGTCATACCTTTACAATCATATGGGTGCAATAGCAATGAAGTGACAATGGTTTTGATCAATTTAAATGAAATTAGATCACATGTCAACCAGGGGCATAAACCAGCAATAAACGTAAACGATAAGCGCAAACTAGGGCAAAAATATAGTCAAATGATTGCTCCTGGCCTCCGAATCGTCCATCTGGCGAGGGTAGCTTAAGAGCTTCGATCAGTTAATTTTGTGAACACATAAGTGGTTGCTACAACCGAATACTGATCGCCTCAACTGAAACGATGGTGCGGAGGCGAATGCCTTTAGATTGGAGTGATGGAACCTTGTATAGTATTTCAAAGACCCGGATTGGGTCGACTTCATGCCTACTATCAACCAAATGAACCATACCAGAGCTTGTTATAGTCCCGGTACCGCCTCGACGCAACCAACGTGGAAGGTGCTCATTGATGCGCTTTTACAAGTGCCGCACCGTTCGACCGATGTAAGAAGCGCCACAGGCGCACTCGAACTGATAAATAACCATAGAAGCGGTCAGCATAGGCAACTTGTCTTTGTTGCATATACGAATGAGGCGTTCCGTTGAGAAAGTGCACTTGAGCTTAGCAGCTGGAAGAGTTGACTTAACGGCTGTGGAAAGGCTTCTAGCTACACGTTCGGCGCCTGTGTTTCCTTTGAAAGGTAATCTTATAAATAGTTCTTTCTTCTCAGCTGTTGGAACTTGCACCAGTTCGGGTTTGTCTTGTATGTTCTTAAGAATGGATCGATCAGGATACCCGTTTTCGCCCAGCACATTTTGAATAAACCCCAACTCAATATCCAACATGTCTTCAGAACAAATCCTGCGGGCCCTTGTAGTTAGACAGCGAAATAGGTTTCGCTTTTATCTCAAAGGAACGAAACTTTGGAAGTTCGTATACTGGCCACTCCAGGTTTTCTTCCTTTAAACTTGCCGTTGGATCGAGCCATCTACCCTTCAAGTTAACAGTACATCAACGAACGGCAACCGGTTGTTCGCTTCCTTCTGGCAGCTACACTGCGAGTTAAGGTTCATTGATAATATCTGTAAGCTTCAAAAATCGCTTAGGATAGTTGGACAACGCGTAGGGCACCGATTCGCGGCCTCCGACAGGGGATCAATGAGCGACAAGGATCGGAGTTGGTGTGTAGGCACCGGAGAAACAAAAAAGCCACAGTCGATGCTGAACTACGGTGCTATTATACAAAGAGTAAAAGATCAAAGTGACAACATACTTCAACAATGTCCTCAAACAAAGACAAGTACAATCAGTTGGCCGTTACAAGAACAGGACATCAATACGGTCGTCCAGTCAGCAAAATGACCCAGCGCGGTTACATGACATGCGAGACATGCACCAGTGAGCCAATCAAGAAACCAACAGCCACTAGTCCAATCACATCAAGCAGGTTCAATGGGGGACACATTATGAAGACCTGAGGTTAGGGGCACATGTCAGCCGGATGGGTGGTGTGTCCACCCACAAAATCTCCGGTCTACCCTGACCTCAATAGTAACACGCAAATGGAACAAGTGCGAAGCAGTGATCGATAAAGTGGAGCATGCATCAAAGAAAGTAGCGAGACAGGTGGTGTCACCAATGTAAGGTGGGCATGGAAAACAAACGACTAAGGGTCATGCAGGGCGGTATACGTGGAACGTTCAAACAGAGTGAATTCAAGGGGAATTAGGGCAATAATGTGGGTCCAGGCGAAGGGTGATGGCTGTTGCGACAAAATGGACGTTACACTCCCCCGCGAAAATCTGTCCCGGATTTTCCAGTGGTTGAGGACGACACGTTCTGTTCTGGATCGCCCTACGCCAACTCCATCCGCTATGGGAGGTCACAGGACTTACAACGGTACGTCTGATCCCCCCTACTTCGGCTGTTGGACTGACAGTGGTCCTCCCTGGAGCAGCAGATCCGAAGACCCGCCTCCCACCTGCGGAGAGCCAACAGCCGGAACTACATTCCCACCCGTGTCACTTCCTTCTAATAAACAGAGCTTACGCACGTCTGTTTTGTACAACCCTTCCTTTGTTCTGACAACAGCCGTCCTGACGAGCCCATCTCCAGAATCAGTGCAGCTCTCAATAGCTCCCAATGGCCATGTTCCACGCGAGCTCGCTTCAGAAGAGACCAAAACCACGTCACTTGGTCTAAAATTTCGACTGCTGTGTAACCACTTTTTTTTACGCCGACAAACTTGAAGGGGTGCCATCCCCGTTCCACACGGGCTAGCGGCAACGGTGCCATTAGCTGTTGATCGGCAGTGGCGAGTCTTTTTTTGCATGTCCCTTCCACGAACTATCCAATATTTACGGCGTAGACTCGCCAGAACTTGAGAAACACCTGCGTGACCTTCCAGCAAGTGATAAAAGCGGATCAACAAATCGGTGACAGTGTGCTTGGGAGGTAGTATAATTGGAAACTTAAAGGAAGCATCGTACTCCGAGTAGGCCAACTTACCACCTAGAAAAGCAAGCCGTCACGCATTATTGGGTGTAGTCACGCCAGAGGACCTCGCAGTATTTCCCCCTTAGGAGACGCCGAGTCCCCAGCTATCTTTTTGAGTCGTGTTAGTTCCGCTCGATAAAATTCGAGCTGCGCGATTCGAGTGACGTCGTACTCGGCCCTGTGAAGTTCCTTTAGAGTAATTAACCGAGCATGTTGCAGCACTCCACTGGTTCCACACCTACGAGCATTCAGGTACTGCTTGAATCGAGACAGCCACACCACAGTCCTTAACAACTTAACCCAGTCTGAATACCCTTGGATTAGAGTAGACAGTGGTGTTTCCTTTGAGGTTGCGTAGACCTGAACAGTAGAATGCTTCAGTTCTGCATCTTCCGGCTCGCAACTAAGGCAGAATTCGGGCCAATCATCGTTCTCGCTCAGCAGAAAATCTGGCCCGAGGAACCAGTTCTTTAAGGAGGCTAGAGATGTAGTACCTCTCGATAGCGGATCAGCAGGATTGCAACCGGATTTGACGTGTTTCCATTGGCT